TTTAATTTTATATTGTGATCTGGGTGCAAATTTACAAAGCAGATTCATTTCACTCTCAACAGTTCATGCACATTTGGTTTCATGGCCCTGATTGCAATTCCCAATCATAAAAAGCTCTTCTCCCATCTCTTCCATGTGACTATCCCTTCCCTGTGCCCTTCATATCTATCCATTCCTACTTGTCCAGCTTTCCATCTATGTGAATGCTGCCCTTCTGATGTCTCACAGTTGACTGATCTAAGGGGTGCATCTCCCTGGGGTACACGTTCTTGCATTTAAGTCTTTCTACTATTAGGCTGAGAGCTAATCCATGGAAGTGAGTCCATTTCCAGGCCCAAAGGATAACTCAGTGCCATAGTCTTAGGGGTCAGGAAACCTTTCTTGATCCCCACAAGCTCTGAGTATTAGATAGTTCCCCTGATCACAGACCTCACTACATTGTACTGTACTTATTTTTCTTTATTATATTCCCCACTATCCACTCCTTACTATCCCTAGCCTGACAAAACCCTGCCAAATGGCTATGTTCTTGTGATTCAAGAATGCACAGGAAGCATGCTCTTAGCCAAAAATGAGCATATAAAAGCAATAAGCCACAGTTTTCAAAAATGAATCATATATCCTATGTGCCTGGTAGAAGGTTCTGTATGAGACACGTCACCTCTGCTCCCAAGGACCTTATAATCTAGAAAGGGAAAAAAGATAATGATACACAATGACTTCAAGAAAGACAGACCATAATGTGCATGGTCTCCAAGTCTCTCCCCACAATTTATTTATTAATTTCAAAGGAAAGACAATAACTTTATGGCTTAGAAATCAGGCAATTACCACCTTATCCAAGTAATCAGAGTTAAGCATCACCAGTAAGCACATATTGACAGCATGTGCCTCTGGATATGATCCCCCAAGACATAACACTTCCATGAAAGTCTTGCCAAAATTCATCTAATCGTGGATAAACATAAGACAAACCCAAACTGAGGGACAGTCTACAATAACTGTCCTATTTTCTACCAGTCACCCAGACCTAAAAATCCCAGGGGTTTTGCTGTAATAGCCTCCCATCTCTATACTTTCCTTTTTCTTAACAGTCTCTACATCTTGATTATTCTGCCTAAAAAAATGCCACCTTGGCCTCTTGCTCTTTACCTTCTTTCTCAGGACCCCCATCCAAGTCTAGGTTCCAGTCCTCATCATCCTCCCCCCCATCATTTCCTCTAGGTCCCTCAATACCAGCCTCCCCTCCTACAAAATGCGCTGCAATCTGAGAAATCATCCTAGAAAAGAATTCTCCCAACCTCCTGCTCAAAGCCCTTCCGTGGCTCCTCACTGCCTGAGCACCTCCACCTCCCTTCCACGGCCCCACTGGCAGCATCCATAGCTTTCCACTGCTTTCCTCCAAGCATCTCCAGTCCAAAGGAGCAGTTTCTTCACTGTCTATGGCCATAGATCATGGCTGCATTCACATTCTTTCCTTACTCAGAATGTCTATTCTCTTCTTGGGCTATTTTCCAAGAATCAGGTTAAAGTATGCATATCTCAAAAATTTTCCTGGAATAATCTAGTCCTCCCTGGCATCCTGTTTTCCAAGCTTCTACAATACTTTCTAAGATGTACTACCCAAATTTGCACTAAGATATATGCTGCCCAGAAATGATTCACTCTTGATTCATAATTTCTGACTGCTCTAAGAACAATCAAAACCAAACTATTTAATTCTATTTTGTAAGAAATATATTTTTTAAAGAATACGTTTTATTCTAAGTGAATATTTTACATAATTTAAAAAAACTCATCAGGAAAAATCTGATCTATCAAGCAAAATCAACTTCATGACTTCATCAAATATCAGTTTATAAACTTGACCATTTCCTTTATATCTTGAATGACTTAGCTGCAAAGTTATTTAGTAGAGGCATTTTAAATATTAAGACGCCAAAAAGTGTTACCTTCCTAGTAGTTACCTGTACTGGGGAAGCATTTGAATATCCCCCCATGGTGATGGGAACAGAGAACTGCTCCATAAATACTGGCAACGTTCCTAATTTTCCAGGGAAGACAAAGTCAAACAGCGACCACAGCTCTCGGAGGTTATTCTGCACTGGTGAGCCTGACAAGATGATGCGATGAGGGGTGCGGAACTATGAAAGAAAATACCTTAACAATAAATTCACCTTTCAGTAAAGAATCATCATCTCAACCCCAAACACTCCCCTGTTGTTGAACACATTTGTATCACTTTACTTCTTATATAACTTTGGTCCTCCCCAAAACACTGAAATTTTATGCAATTATAATTCTTCAACTACATTTAGAGGGAAAAAATGTTTCCTTAATGTTCAAGGTGAATAATAAGGATTAGGGTTCGATTTGGTGACATTCTAACAATTGGTCTTTACAAGAGACATTAAGTAATATGAACAATTGGAATGAAAAAGCATGAGGAAGGGTGATATTTTTCACATTATGGCAAAAAATGTACATTTTAAATTTCTTTTGCAAAGGCAATAGATAAGATTCAATAAGTATGTTTTGGTAATCTTATTAAGCAGATAGTTTATTTTTATTTAAATACTGCTATCCATCTGAGCTCTGGTAGCATAGTGGCTAAGACACTTGCCTGCTAACCAGACGGCTGGCGGCTCAAACCCACCAGCCACTCCTCGGAAGGAAGGTTGGGCAATCCTACTTCCGTAGTGATACTGCCTCGGAAACCCAAGGAGGGGTCGCTATGAGTCGGGGCCGACTCGACGGCACATAACAACAACAACAACATCCATCTGAAAATCCCCTGTTATAAGAAGAGACCATACCTGTTTGCAAGCAAGGGTAATGGCAGCATTTGGATTTCGAATTTTGTGTCCTTCATCTAAGATCACATAATGCCAGTCATGCCTGCTAATGTCATCTCGCATCAGTCGAATATAGGAGTAAGAAGTGATCAAAATTCCATGACAATGAGCAATATCACGAATTAGTGTCTCCTAAAACCATAATAAAATGAAGTCAATTTTAATGAGAAGATAAATTAAACGAGCATGACTATTAAAATGACAACTTTTCATCATAACACAATCTAAAGCATTTTGCAAATGTGTACAATTATGAACATAAAACATACAATCATAATTATGTATTACTGAAACTGGAGGTTTACATTCACAATTAATTCGCAAAGGAGTTAATACAGACTAAAATATCCACTAAATGTAGGGACCCTCAAAATAAAACCAGTGAAAGTAATAACATGTAAACAATTACCTAATTTTATTTTCCTAAAACATCCTTTGTGTTCATCTTTGTTAAACCTGGAAAGCGATTTGTTATTTTAAAGTAAAAGAAAGAAAATGAAACAAAAGTCCAGAAAAGAAGAAGATAGATTTATATAAGAGTTCTAACAATGTTTAACAGGGATTCTAGGAGGACAGAGTGGAAAGCATATAAGCAATTTTTTTTTTTTAATGATAGAAGAAAATTCCATAAAATGAGGAGAGACTTGAGGCTACAGAGCAAAACATTCCACAAGTGCCAGGCAGAAACAATGGAAAAAGACACATCTAGGCATGTCCTACTTAAATGTCTGAATTCCATAAACACAGAAAAATAAAGAGAAAACGCTATAGCTTCCAGTCAGAACAAAACAGAAAAAGGAAAAGAAGAGATACCCTACAGAGGAAAAAGAATCTGCCTGGATTGGGTATTGTCTCTGCAACACTAAAAATGTCAGAAAGCAAAGGGAAAGTCATGGATTGAACTGTATCTCCCAGAAATAATGTGTTATAAATTCTAACTTCTATGCCTGTGGTATAATCCCATCTGGGAATGGGTTGTCTTTGTTATGTTAATGAGACAGAATTAGTGGGTGTGTTTTGAGTTAATTTCTTATAAGGTATAAAAAGAGCAGATTAGGAAAAGAAAGCAAGCAGAGATGGGGGAAGATTGCTGCTAAACCACAAAGAGATCTCCAAGGAACCAGGAAACAGAAGCTGAAGAGAAAGGACTTTTCCCCAGAGTGGACAGAGACAGAAAGCCTTCCTCTGGAGCCAGTGCCCTGAATTCAGACTTCTAGCCTCCTAAACTATGAGAAGATACATTTCTGTTTGTTAAAGCCAGCCACTTGTGATATGTTTGTTATAGCAGCACTAGACAACTAAGATAGAGTATCTTTACATTATCCTAAGGAAGGAAAAATGGTGGCCCAATAATAGAAAGGCATTCTATATCTAACAAAACTAGCAGTCATGAAATATAAAGAAATAAATTCCACTTTTAGACATGCCAGGACTCAGAAAATAAGCAACCAATAGAGTGGTGGTGCAAACAGTGAACATTCTTGGCTGCGAATACACCCTGAGACAACTCAGAAGAAAGGCCTGGCAATCTATGCCAAAATCAGCCACTGAAAAAACCCTATGGAACGTGGTTCTACTCTGACATACATGGAGTTGCCATGAGTTGGAATCATCTTGATGGCAACTGATTATATCCAGACAATGGAGCAGTGCTGTCATTAAAAGAACAACATAGCTTCTAAGATGCAACTATTGGTCTCATCTTGTCTGCAGCAAAGAAGAGTGAAGAAAATCAAAGTCATATGGTAATAATTAGTCCAAAGATATGATGGACCACAAGGACCTCAGCCTTCATGACCCCAAGACCAGAAGAACTAGATGGTGCCCAACTACCAATGCCAGCCACTCAGAAAGGGATCAAATTGGAGATATTGTATAGAGTGGGAGGAAAAATATGGAACAAAATTCAAAATCACAAAAATGACCAGAATTTCTGGTCAGATAGAGACTGGTAGAACCCCTGAAACTATGGCCCCAGGTTATCCTTCAGGCCTAGAAATGGACTCACTTCTGTGGATTGGCTCTCAGCCCAATAGTAGAAAGACCTATCCCAGGGAAATGCACCCACCTACTCTAGGGAGATGCACCCCTTAGATCAACCAGCCATGTGACATCAGAGGGGCAGCATTCACATAGAGCTGGACAGACAGGAATGCATAAAAAAGAAGGGCACAGGGATGGGGCAGTCACAGGGAGGAGGGTTGGGGATGGTATTTGGGGCCATGAAATCAAATGTGCATGAACTATTGAATGGAAAACAAACCTGCTTTGTAAATTTGCACACAAAGCGCACACGCACACACACACACACACACACACACAAAAGAGCAATATAGCTTTACATGGACTGAAAAGAAAGATGCTCATAGGATGCTGCTAAGTGGAAAAGGCACTCTGCAGAATAGCACAAACAGTACTGCTACAAGCAGTCCCTGACTTATGATGTATTCAAGTTTTAACAAATCACATTTATGATTGACTTTTTTTTTTTGGTACATCTTATCGTTAGTCTTGAAGCCCTGGTAGTGCAGTGGTTAAGCACTCAGCTGCTAACCCAAAGGTTAGAGGTTCAAACCCACCAGCTGCTACACAGAACTAAGATGTGGCAATCTGCTTCTGTAAAGATTTAAAACCTTGGAAACCGTACAGGGTAATTCTACTCTGTTCTACAGGGTCATTATGAGTTGGAAATGACTCAACAGCAATGGGTAGGGATCGTTAGTAATATGTATGTGTGTGTATATTAAGATGTATCTGCAATCCCTAAACACAAATAAAGACCAGATTTATAAAGATACTGATAATAAAAAGCAATAATAATGACAACTAAAATAATAATAACGAAGTGTTCAACTTATATGAGCACCAACTTAAGACAGTGTCACCACCACCAGAATAGAACCTTTTCACAAGTCAGGGACTACGTGTATATTCTGAGATATATTTCTCATAGAAACCTTTGAGAAAAGAGATAGATATATTACTAACCCTATTTTAAAGATGAGGAAACTGTCTTAGAGATAGTAAATAATGCTAGGTCATGCAGCTGGTAAATGGTAGTCAGGAACTAAATGTAGAAAAGCAGTCAACTCCAAAGCTAGTACTACTAAGTATTAGGCTACGCAGCCTCTTACTGAAGTATAAAAGACAAAAATTTAAAGGGGAAATTGAATATGCATATTATTTCTTAAAATAAATCATACATAATAGTTACACCGAAACATTGTTTTAAATGTTAATAAACTGTTAAGAAAGAATTTCAAAATATAAAAAGGTATATGCTTAAAGTGTTACTATAATTTCAGTTTACTTTAACAAAGCTGAGAGTGAGAGTAGGAGAAAAAACTCATCCTATGCAAGGATGGAAAGGGGGTAATAGATACTTTTAAATTCTTAACTTCAATAGATACGCAAACCAAAAATCCAAACTCATTGCTGTCGAGTTGGATCCAACTCATAGCAACCCCTCCTTGAGTTTCTGAGGCGGGATCACTACAGAATTAGATTGCCCAACCTTCCTTCTGAGGATAGTAGTAGTGCCTCAGAAACCCAAGGAAGGGTCTGATTAATAGTTGCTACTTCAGTGCGTACTGTTATTACGTATCAAGTCAATTTTCAATTCATAGCAACCCCATGGGACAGAACACAACTACCCCATAGGGTTTTCTAGGCTATAATCTTTATGGGAGCAGATTGCCTGGTCTTTCTCCCATGGAGCAGCTGGATGGGTCTGAACTGCTAATTGGTTAGCAGCCCAGCACTTAAGTGTTGCACCAGTGGGACGCACTATAGATAGTTCCCGACTTACAACCTATTTGAGTTACTATGAACTGCACTTAGTGACAGTTTTGAACATCTTTTGTACATCTTATCATTAGTAATATGTACTACTACATAAAATGTGGCAGTGTGTAATTTGCTCATGTTATCATTCTTAGATGTTCACTCCCAGATGTTCAATGTTATGATTTATAAACAGACTGATAATAAAAGGTAATAATAATGAAAACTTAAAAAAGGAAAAGAGAGATTTGACTTATGTCAGAATTGACTTGCAATGGAGTTGTTGGAATGGAACGCTGTTTTCAGTTGAGGACTACTTGTAATAGAAAAGAAACAGAATATAGACCTATTAAATTAATAAAGGGGAAAAAGTAACAGAAAATAGGAAAAATCAGGAAAAGAAAATATAATAAACACAAACAGAACAAGTTTAAGACTAGCCACACTGAGGGATCACCTGGGATGGTAGGTTGTAACAGCAAAACTTCCCACTGGTAACCAAGACTCCAAACAGAATGGCACTGAAAGCTTAAAATAGGGGAATTATCAATTATATGCCAAAGAAATACAAACAAAAAAGGCAGGGTCAGCAGTGTAAATATTAGACAAAAAGAACTGAACAGAATAAAGAGGGGCTACTTTGTATTTTAAAGGAGACAATATGCTGAAGAAGGAGTCATGACTCTCTTAACTACCAAAAAGCACTGCAATGCAACAGAAAAGCAAACTCTAGAACTACAGGGAAACACCCACATGGTCACAACCCTGTTAGGAGGTGCATCGACAGCCTCACTCAGAATCTGAAAAATCAGAAAAGATAAGACTAAAGAAAAAAGTTTAAAACTTAGGATATGAAGGATTTGGATATTACTATCACTGAGCTCCTTTTAACAGCTATCATAAAAGCTTTAGATGACACAAAGAATCTTTTATCTGTTTTCATACTCTATTAAGAAAGACTTTAAGCAGTCAACTTAAGCTGCTAAAAAAGAAAGAAGTAGGAGTTCCGGCAAGATGGCAGACTAGGCAGAAAGACTGCACAAACCCTTTTCAACAATGAAAAGGGAAACCAATTAACACAGACACAGAAGATAATCTTGGACCCCTGAGCCTTGAAGGGAAGGATATAAAAGTGGACTAACCCCCAACCAGCAGAAGAATTTGCATGAAAATAGCAAAAAAGGAGACTTATGGAGCTGCAGTATGGCAGCGATCCTGACGGCACAGACAGGTTGGAGATTTCCGAATGGTGGCAGGACCTAAGAATTAACCTAAAAATCACCCTGCTGGCCAGGGACTGCACAGAGGACTGTGCACAGTAGCTGGGGAACAAATGGAGAAGGTGCAGA